GGGCGCGCCAAAAATAATTTGCCATATCCTGGCGGAAGAAGGGGAAAGAGAGAGAGGGGGCAACAGGCCGCTAGACAGGGACGGGGCGAGCGATAAGGCGGCGTCGGCCAAAGATGAAAGCCTCGCCGGGGTGCTAATAAAGTTGCCCGCCAAGAAATAAAGAACCTCGGAAAGGGGCAAAGGAAATCCCCTCCTTCGATTTTCTCCGGCCCTGTGTAGGTGCTAATTTAGCGACCCCACAAAGATCCAGAGGGTCCCCCAGAATTTCCATTTTCAACAGAAATGAACTTCAGATAAGGGACTAAATGTCAAAATTATCAACACACTCGGTGCCCATATTAACCCATTGTCAAGACATTGTCTCGAAAAAACCCCAAATGCAAATGGGAAGATGGTGAAACCAAAAATGTAATTAATTTTAAAATTACAAATAACTTAATATAATTATATATAATCTTAATAATAATAAGCAACGTTCAAATAATATTAGATATCCCAATAATAATAATAATAAAGCTTTACCCAAATTGGAAATTTGTGAAAACAAATTGTTTGGGATCAAACAAAATATTTTAAGTTATTTTAAAATTAAAAATATAATAAAATTAATATATATAATTTTATTATACAAGAATAATGTACTTAACTATATCTACTTTTAGCACCACATAAGCAACATTCAGAAAAATATTAGATGTCCCAATAAAATACTTACTTTTTTAGCCACTTTTCATGTGAGTACAGGGACTAATTTTGTATTTCATTTTTACTTTTTACTAGCCCTCTGTTAAGTCCCCATGGGTTAAAAGCCCCGATACGGCTGAAGTCTTTGGGCATTGAAGATTGCAGATCGAGCGAGGATGAGCAGGGGAAATACAAAAAACGAGAATTCGAAAAGGCAGAGCTCATGGGCCAGACAAAGTGCAAATATATGTTGCCAGACCACAAAGCCGGGGCTAAAGCCAAAAGCCAAAAGGAAGGCGGTCCAGAACCATAGGAAAAATCAAAAAAAAAAAAAAAAAAAAAAGCGAAGCAGAAAAAAATACGGCTGAGTGGATGGCCTCACCTCGAGATGCCAAAGTGCATCAGGCACTAAAATGCAGAAAATTGAAACAGGCTTTTAATGAAATGAAAGCGCCGCGAGAGATGAGATGCGCGGCTGGTTGGATTGCTGGATGACTGGATTGCTGGATGGCTGGATGCCGGATTGCCGGATGGCAAGTTGGCCAGTTGGTCGGATCGACTGACTATCTATCTCGATATCTGGCCCGACGTCCAGGGCTCTGAGATGGTGGCAAACGAGAGCGAGTAAGCGCTTAAAAATAAAATAAAGCGAACACAAAGAGTCAATTAATTAGTAGATGGATCCACGATTATTGCTATATTAACATTGCGCTGCAGTTGAAGTCGCCGTTGAGGTACACTGTGGAAAAATGATTTGTTATATCAAATAGTTCCAGGTATCCCTTATTTAAATATAGAAAACAATCTAATTTGTATTAACATTCAATGTTTGTGTGTCGATAGATATTGACCAAATAAGTTTTCAAGTGCGGTGTCAATATATATAATATATACATATAATACATAGATCAACTCGGCTATATATTCTGAACAAGAATATATATACCGTATACTAAATATTACAAATACCCCTCTTTTTGTTCACTGTTTAAGAACGTCATTTTTTTCAGTGCCGAAATTGTGGAAGAGTGGTCTTCCTTTTACTTAAGATAAGAACGGGGAATGGAAGCTGGGGCGTTCATTAAATGATAACAGAGCGACGGCCGGTTTCGGGTGATAAGGCCATTTGAACTAACCCGCTCGGACGGGAAAGAAAAAAGCAGAACCATCTGTGGCATTCGCGCATGTGGAGGGAAATGCACCTAATGACTCGGGACTCGGGATTCCCAGGAAGACCGGCAAGACAATGAAAGGCAACCAAGGGCCAGAAACAGAAGCTGCAGGGAGAAAAATGATTTAAATACACGCAATCCTCGAGGCGCCACAGCGGGCAGCATTCGTCGGAGGACGAGTCCTCGAAATTTATGATGCAATTTGCTAAAAAAAAAACATGAAAAAATGGGAACACACACCAAACAGACAATCATTGAATAAATAATTTATTTCTCATTCTCTGTTTTGGTAATGCAAATTGCGGTCATCGACTGGTAAATACAGTTTTGAGATCAAAAAGAAAATTCTTATTGATAGGATACACTAGATTCCAGTTAAAAATAGCTTGTGGCTAATAGTTACATTTTTATTATTATAAATTCACTCAAAAGTTGTGAAATGTGATCTAAAATTTAATTTCAGCAGACCATTACTTTACCAAATTTAATCCGATTCCAAAGTGGCATACCTCTAAAGACTTGTGATTCGATTCTCTAAAAATCTGCATTCAAAATTTTCAATTTAGCGTTCTTTAAATTTTTGACCCATTTTCATGTTAGTTATTTTAAAGTTTTCGATGCCTTGTGAAAGGGCATCTCAACCGAGACACTTCTAGATATTTTAATATTGCACTTCAAGTTGTTGTATTTTTAAGATTCCTGCGTTTATGACTCAACATTTTCTTCCGCACATGATGACTCAAGTTCGCCGATCTCCTAGTTCTTGAGCTCTCTTTCCAGCTAAGTGGAGCTTTGAATTTATTCGACACAGGTCCTAAAAAATAACCCCCTCAGCCGAATAGAGAACAAAATACAAAAATCGAAAGCTAAGCCTCGCTTTGCATGCGACCCATCATCATAAAGGAGATTATAAGCTGCGGGTTGAATACAGGAACGTGGCATGGTGAATGGGGAAGGGGAGGGTGATCCGGGATCAAGATCCCCTGGAAAAAAGGGAGTGTGTGGGGGGGGGAAGAGCCAGGAGGAGCAGAACCACATGGAGCGGGAGCAAAACGGCAGCCAACCGGGAATCATTTTACGTCTTCTGCGAAATATTCATTACAGCAAATTTGTAAAGGCAATCTGAGGGGCGGAAAGCAAAAAGAAGTACACAGAACACAATTAAAATGATTTCTCCTTTTTCATATTTTAAATTTCAAAATTTACAGTGCTAAGAAAGAAACTTGAAAGAAAATACATCCCCATGATTTTATAATGGAGACTTAGTCGATGAATAATGGTACCTTTATTTGGTAACGTTCTGAAATAAACTGGAAAGCAGTGCTACAATTTTTTTTCGTGTAGAGTTTTTCAAGGAGAGTAAAATGGAACGAGACTTTGCCTCCGACTCCCTGGAGCCCTACATCCTCTTTTGCTTGCCGTGTCCAATGCGGTTTTTTCCTTTTCTCTTTTTTGTGCAAAATTATCTGTGGTGTTATTATGCATTATGAGGCCTAATGCGCACAGTTCCTGTGTTTTCGACTCATCGCTGGAAGGGGCAGAAATATAGGGGAAATACCAGAGGAAAAGGGAGATATAGCGACAAAGTCAGCTCTATTTGTACATTGAAGCGTTGATAGACTACAAATTAAGGTACAACATTTTTGCCCAGCTAAAATTCCAAAAATATGAATGAAATTTCTATGCCACAACTCAATTAAGGAAAATTGGTTTAAATATTGCCGGTACTGCGCGCACTTAAAAATATAAAGTTTAAGGAAAAGAGACATAATAAAAACAAATTGGTGATAAGCTAATATCAAAAATGTTTAATCAGTTTTGAGTGGACTTATTTTGTATATTTAAAATGCGCAAACATAAGGAATATGAATCATGTATTTTTAGTAGGTTTCATACCTAATTTAAACATGAACCACTGGATAAATAACAAAATATGTATGTATTTTAAAAATGTATTTCACTTTTAAAAATGGGCAAACCTGAATCTGTTAGGATCAAGATCGGATCCAAAATTGAATGCACGTTTTGTTGCCTATTCGTCCCCTTCAGCTCCTGATCTGTCCTCCTTCTCCTCCTCCATCTTTTCCTCTTCCATCTTTTCCTCCTCCATCTTCTCCTCCTCCTTCCCTCCTATTTTTCTCTTTTTTTTCTTTTGCCTTCGCCGTGTTTTCATGAAATATTGCCCGAGGGGCGGTTCAATTTTGATGCATTTACAACGTTCGGGGTGTTGGTAATTATAGGGACTTTATGTCTGGAAGTTTCCTTTATGATAGGGTTTTTACTTTCAAGTTTCTTTCATATACCGTTCGCGCTATTTTTGCGTCGTCTTTGATTGCTGAATTAAGTCGGTCGAGTGGACCTTTTTTGTTGTATTTCTGTGCCAGCGCTTTGGGAAACGCCCTAGGGAAATCGGGGGGAGAAGGGAAGATGGGGAATTCGGGAAGGTCGGATCGAATACCTTTGTACACACATTAATGTATGCGAGTTTCCTGCTTATCTTTGATTCAATGATCGTACTCCTCCTCCGATCATTGAATCCAAGATGAACGGGAAACATTTAAGTATCAGCATTATTTAGTTCGTTTGGAACTTAATTAGCTAAAAATAGTTCGAAATTGGTCTTAAGTTGTTTACCATTCTGAGTAGGTCCTTAATTATACATTTTTTTATGAACGAATATATGGTTGCAAAAAATTAAAGTAATAAGTGCAAGTCAAAACATACATTTGAGTTATATATTTTGTGAAACTAAAATGAATTTGTTTTAACATAACATTAGCTTAAATGTGGGTCCTCCAATCAAATTAAGAGAAAATAGACATGGTGAAAGAAATTGACCTTAGCTATACTTTTATCCATGGGTTATCATTTATATAACTCAATTTTGAAGTCCGAGCTCTGCGCGCTTCAGTTTCTGCCACAAAATGCTGAGATTTTGCCAGGACTGCATAACGGTCATACTTTAACTGCGCAGATAGCGGGGACTTACTCCGCAAATAGCGGGGAATTACTCCGCAGAAAGCGGGGACTTACTCCGCAGTGAGCTTTGGTAGAGATGGAAGACCATCGATGACGCCGTGCCATATATCGATAGTACCGATGTTTTAAAAACGTTGCTGATATCGATGTTATCATCGATGTTTCTCCACCTCTACTTTATAGAACATAAAAATTTTGAAACTTGCGTTTTTTAGCAGCTGATGCGTGCGTAAATATATAAAATATAAATATAATACATAAAAGCGTGTTTCGCAGCGAGTGAATTCCAGGTAATGTCGCCAATTCCCGATAACGCGAGAATTCGCTGAAAACAAAAGGCAGCTGTGTGTGCGTGCGTGAGTGTGTGGGTGTTTTGAGTCGAGTCCTTTGGATTTCCCAGAAATCGCCCGAAATGGGGGTTACGCACACGGGACTGGGCATGGATATATGTTCGGGGTGGATCGGGGGAGCGCGGGGCGTGCAATATCGATGGCCAACAGCGGGGCGATGAACTTAACCTCAAATCCTGGGCCAAAAACCCAAACGTGACGAAAGACAACAAAGCAAACAAGGCGAATAAGGTCAGTCAATCCGAACCCGAATCCGGTTCGAAAGCACAACGATGTGGCAGTCCCGATCCCGCTCCCACATATCCAGCCTGATTGCCTACTTCGAAAGCAAGCAGACCCGCCAATATAACCTCCGCCGTCCTCCATCTAATCCCGCCCCCTTCTCCATTCCTTCACAGAGCGCGCCCACAAGGAGGCCAAGGCCAAGCAGCTGCTCGCCATGGTGAAGAAGCGTCAGGCGGACAGCCACGACCACGAGAGCTCCACGGACTCCGGCGATGAGGAGCTTCACCACAGGAACCCACTTGGGTCCGCCGGCCAAGCGGATGGCGCCACGCCCACCTCCACCAGTTGCCAGCATATTAAGAAGGCGGTGGACGCGGCCCGACTCCGACGTCTCCTCAAACCGACGGGTCTCCTGTACGAGTGCTCCCAGTGCCAGAAGTTGGGCAAGACAGCAGGGGCAGATGGAGCAGCCGGATCCGGTTCTGGCGGAGATCCGGGAGACTTCGAATTCGACAGCACACTGTGGCTGTGCCTCAAGTGCGGCAGCCAGCTGTGCGGAAGGGCCAGGCACAAGCACGCCCTGGATCACTATCAGGTGGGCAGGGGATCTCACAGCGACAGAAGTTCATGCAATACAGCAATACTATATCCAGCATACCTCAATTGATCCCTTTGATTTATACCTACATATACTAGCCTCCCCTGTTTTGCATGTTCAAGCAATTCCATTTGTCATGTCTTGCGCATCAAATTATGGGCAATCTGTGACCCATTTATCACATCTAGGAGTCCCTTTCTGTTCCGCTGAAAGTGAATTCATCTGAATTTACGGACAGTGTTTCTTAATTCGCTTTGTAAATGCAGTTTAATTAGAATCAAAGGCGAATGCTCACTTCTTTGTTTCACTTCGAATTGAAACGCCAAAACAAGCTTCTTAGATTTAGCCAGAATAAGTTCCTCAAAATCTCATATGAAACTACATTTATTGAATATCTAATCGTATTATCTTTTGAATTTTGACTACATGTATATCCTTCAAAGTCTATACATTATGTATATGATTTAACGAAACACTTGAAGGAAATGCAAAGCTCTAGTAACATTACTACTTATTACGTTATAAATTATATAGCGTTTGAAACAAAGAAGTTCTATAGATAATGCTAATTAAATATTATTGCGAACATTCTCATTGAAAAACATTTCAGTGACTTCAATCCCTACGTAGTAATTATATCCCCACCTTCCGCAGACACCCCACTCGGATTCGCATGCGCTAGCCATGAATACGCGTTCCTTCGACATCTGGTGCTACGAGTGCGACATGAAGATCTGCTGCAATCTGCGCAAGAACCTGCTCGAGTGCGTAGAGTTGGTCAAGCGGCTGGCCCAGAAGCCACCCACGAACACCGCCACGCCCAGTCCGCCCACCATCAGCTACATCGAGCAGAAGATCAAGTCCACGCTGGAGCACCTCACGCCCATGGTGCCCATGACGGGCGGATTCTTTGACGACGCCGGCGGAGGCGGAGCGGGATCCGCGGCGGTTGGCGCGGGCGGAGGAACCCAGAGCAGCCAGGTGGCCATTCCGATGCCACCGCCGCCGCTCAGCTCAGGACATTCGGCCGCCGGTTCGCTGACCAGTGTACCCGGAATGGCCAAGAGGATTGGCCAGGCCAACGCCCCCGCAACCACCACCGCCAATGGCAACGGTGTGAGCAGGCGACTCCTCACCCTGGAGACGCCGCGCAACGAACTGGACCGACTGCCCAGGGTGCGGGGACTGACCAACCTGGGCAACACTTGCTTCTTCAATGCGGTGATGCAGTGCCTCGCCCAGACGCCCTTCCTACTCAGCGTGCTAAAAGAACTTGCGGAGCCGGGAGAGGAGTAAGTTGGCCTCTTTCACTCTATTTGAAGACTTCATAACGAGATCTTACTTATTCTCACCCACAGATTCGTTTTGCCCGGAGGAACGTTCAAGCTAAAGGACAAGGGCGACATCGAGATGCCCATGATCAAGGGCACCCTCTCCTCCTGGGGCGGACTCACCGCCGCTCTGGCCAATGCCCTCGAGGAGCTCCAGGCGGGCGGCAGTGTGTTTACGCCCAGCAAGCTCTTCGAAAAGCTGTGCATTAAGTGTCCGCAGTTCACGGGCGGCGACCAGCACGATGCCCACGAGCTATTGCGCCAGCTCCTGGAGAGCGTGCGGAACGAGGATCTGAAGCGCTACCAGCGTGTCATCCTGCAAAACCTTGGCTACAAGGACCAGGACATCAACAGTGTGTCGGAAGAGATGCGGCAGAAGTGCAAAATCTACGGCAACCAGGCCGGCGACCGCATCCTGCGCCCGGAGCAGGTCTTCCGCGGCTTTCTCGTGTCCACGCTGACTTGCCAGGACTGCCACAGCGTGTCCTCGCGGCATGAGTACTTCCTGGACATGTCGCTGCCCGTGGCCGTGGAGAAGCCACAACCGCCGCAGCGTCGGAAACCGAGTCCGGATCTCTCCTTGGTGGCCAGCAGCTCCAGCGTCAGTTCCACTCAGACCACCAGTCAGCCGGCGATCAACACCAAGTTCACGGAGGGCAGCGTCAACTTCACGGCCTCTTCGTCCTTCTTCCTGCACGCCGATCAGGAGGGCTCCCTGGGCCCCTCCAAGTCGCAGGTAAAGAAGGAGAAGGAGCGGGAGCGCAAGGCGAAGCGGGCGGCCAAGCATCAGCGCCACAAGCAGGCCCAGAAGTTGAGCCTCAAGCTGAACGGAAACAGCGGTGGAAATGGGAATGGTTTCGTCCAGTCAGGGGAATCGGACGCTGCACTGGCCTCCTTAGGCGCATCTGGCGATGGGCAGGCCATCGATGGCTCCGACCAGCCCAAAGACCAGACCGAGGACACCACCTCGTCCAGCGTGACCACCTCGGAACACTCCGACGCCGATGTCGAGGACAATCTGGTGGAGGACACCGCCCCGCCGTCGGCTAATAATGCGTCGAGCACCTCCGCATCCTCGGGAGCTGCGGCCAAGTTTTACACGGACAGCAACGGCAATGCCCAGCCGCTGGGCGAGAAGCGCGACGACACGCCGGAGCACATGGACAAGGACTCTCTGGAGGAGGACGAGAATGGTGAGTGGGACAGCCTAACTAAGTTACTACTGTATTTCAAGAGCTATGAGTTGAGTTGAGCTTGAGTTTCTAAATACCACTCTTAGTTTTTTTGGCTGGTTTTGTTTTTATTCATTTACAAGTTTTGTATTAAACAAATGTGACCTTCAAAGTATATTCAAATGTGCAAATAATCTAGCTTACTAACAAAGCAGAGTCAATATTTTGCATTAGTGCACACTTATTTCACAAAGCTATCCGTATCAGTCAATCAAGAGATTTCCTTATACATACATACATTATGAACTACTTTTGTATAGATTTGCGAATATTTAAATAAACGCAACAATATAAAAATATATTTTATATTTTACGCAATCGAATGTATTGTGCCTATTTTAACCATAAGTGGTAACCTAATAATTAAGAATTTTTGGAGCTGATTTGGAAAAAGCCATAGGTATTTTAGATTATTGAATATTGACTAATCCACTTTCGTTTCCATCGTTTCCAGACTCGGGGATCGCCACTAGTCCGGCACCCACTGCAACCAACAGCAGCACGAGCACCAATGCCACCAACGACACCAATTCTACAGGCAATAACAATTCGCGCTCCGGATCCGGCTCGTCCGGATCTTCGGGCGCCCTGGAAGAAACCTCTGCGCCCGCGAGCCTGGTCAGTGCAGGGCTCTCCGAGAAGGGCGCCTCCCTGATACGGCAGATATCGGTGGGAGCCGAGCAGAGCGGACTCAATGGAGCTGCAGCGGAGGGTGGAGCAGCGCAGGCGACCGCGCAGCAGGAGAATACCCCGCACCAGACCCAAGTGGAAACCCAGACTCAGGCTATGGCCTTGGCCCAAGCCCAGGCCCGTGCGAAGCGGGTGCGCACGCAGAGCTACTCGGACTGGAGCACCACGATAGCACCGCGCTACCAATGCGAGGATGGCGAGTGCTCCGTGCAGTCCTGCATGAACAACTTTACGGCCGTGGAGCTAATGACGGGCCAGAACAAGGTGGGATGCGACAGCTGCACGCTGAGAATCAACGGCAGCGACCCGAAGGCCAAGTCGGTGAACACCAATGCCACCAAGCAGCTGCTGGTCTCCAGTCCGCCGGCGGTGCTTATCCTGCACCTAAAGCGCTTCCAGCTGGGGCCGCGCTGCATCTTCCGTAAGCTGACGCGACCGGTGAGCTATCCCAATCTGCTGGACATCGCCGCCTTCTGCGGCTCCAAGGTGAAGAACCTGCCGAACATCGACCGCAAGCAGAAGAAGCTTCTGTACGCTCTCTACGGCGTGGTGGAGCACTCCGGCGGAATGTACGGTGGCCACTACACGGCGTACGTGAAGGTGCGGCCCAAGGTGACGCCGGACGACAAGCGCTGGAAGTTCCTGCCGCACGGCAGCAAGGCGGAACTGGACCAGGACGATGACCAACTCAAGAAACTGGAGGAACTGCTGGCCAAGGAGAAGGCGCGCGAGATGCACATACATGCGATGGACGATAGCGACGACTTCACCAACTCCAGCAGCAACTCGTCCACCTCCGACGAAGGCAATTCCCTGGCCACGCCCCTCGAGGAGCAGCTGACGCTCCAGGAAGAGGCCGCCCACGTGCAGGCGCCGCCCGGCAAATGGTATTACGTGTCCGACTCGCGTGTCCAGGAGGTCAGCGAGGACACGGCGCTGAAGGCCCAGGCCTATCTGCTCTTCTACGAGCGTATCTACTAGGGATAAGATCCTTGAAAAGGACGAGAATCAGAAAGAAAGAAGATCATGTCGCGGGAGTCTAGCCGGGAAGGGGAGCACAGATGAGGAGCAGCTATCGTTCCATTAACTAGCTTAGGACCACATTCTATACATACACATTTAATTACTTTAATTTTTTTTCGCTGGGTTTCGTTATAAGTTCTCTCCCCTTCCCAAAAGCCCAACCAACTATGATTTATTATTAATTTGTTTAAAACTGCATTTCCGTTGGAAACAACGAAGTAGAGGAAATACAAGCTGGACTGAAGACGGAGAAAGAGACAAACAGAGTTGCGTAGACAGAGAAGGCAGATACTCACTCAAGCCAAATGCATTTGGTTTCTCCTACTAAAAATTCATTGTTCAATTTGGTTTTTTTTGGGACAAGCTTTAGTTAACAAAAAGGAGGAAGACACGCACGCACTCATTTTTAAATTGTAGTTCTCAGGAGTTCGGATTTTCTTTTATTGTTTTTCTTTATATTTTTTTAGTAGCATGTGGAAAGACACTAAAGGGAATTATTATGTTTATTAGTTGTAAGTTCGCTTGGTTCCAACATTGTCCAGAACTATGACAGAACGTTACTTAAACCACACACCATAAACTTAAGTAAAACAGGGGAAAACCCAGAAAATGGCCACAGAATGGATATCTAAGCAAGAAAAAAGTACGAAGGAAAAACGAGAGGAAAAACCAAGAAACTATTTGCTGATGTTCATAAGTTATAACGAATACGAATGAAATAAATACAACCAATTGCTCGCTTCTGCCAATAAATTTAACTTTGCAGTAACTTAACTTATATACACCTACTATACATATATACACACTATATTACGGGCCCATATACATACCGCCCACTTAGATATTTACAATTTCAGCCGAGGAGTAAATATTTTGAACCTATATAGCGAAGGAAATGGTAACAAGAGGGATTTATACAATAGCAAGACATAATTATAAAACACGGTTTATCTTATGACCTAGGCTTAACTATTGATTAAATTATGATAACTAACCATGTATATTAAAGAGAGAAACAATTTGAGAATGCAAACAGTTTTTCGATTTTTGCCAAAAGGATGTTTTTCTTGAGCTAGTTTGGAAGCAAGGTTGAGAATTGGTGATTATGTAAAACACCTTAAGATCGGACTTTAAAATTACACAATACATTTTTATTTAATTACCGAATATAATAGTTATTTTAAGAAATTTAAAACAAATTTATTTTTAATTTTTAAATGCCTATCTTGTTCAAGAAAATTTGAATTGGCGACAGTGCCCCCACATTTGAATATGGGTTTCGTTTCAAAACTCAGTCTTGGAAAATTCAAAGTAATATGTAGTATAATTAAACTTAAAGTAACGTAGAAAGTCACTTTTGTGAAAAATACATCATGCAAGTAAAAGTAATGTAATTTATACATGTAATGTATGAGTAAGGTAACATCGGTGTAGAATTTCTATTAATTTGATTTCTATGATAGACCATACAAAACAAGAGTAGAATAATACGATAGGTCAACCTTTTCGGCTATAAATTGAAAACAGATTTGTGATAAATTTATTATTAATGGAGGACTTTTAAATAATAACAATAAAATCAACGATTCAAGGAATAATAGTTATTTTTAATCGATAAATACAGACGCAATATATAATTGGGGCACGATTTTTAGAGTAGCCCTTCAATGTTGATGTTTCCATTTTCCGTTCCCAGCTTATCAGCCATCGCGCCTCGTCGATCTGCCCTCCCATCTGACCCCATCCCATCCTATTCCATTCCGGAGGCAGGTAGCCAAGGTCACGTCGCACTAGAAGCTGAATCGATCGCTCAAAGCTCTATTCTCCGGCGGCTTCATCGATTCCATCCAGTCGCACGATGAGAGCTCCATTGTTCGGATTGTGGTTCTGGCTGGGATTGGGGTGGCTTCTAGTCTGCGAATCCGGTGTGGTTTCGGCCAAGCGGTTCCTTCGCTGCGAACTGGCGCGAAAACTGCTCGATCAGCACGGTTTCGAACGAAGTCTGCTCTCCAATTGTGAGTGGGAAATCTAATTGAATGTGGACTTCTAAGCTCTAAGCACTTCTAAGCTCAAGTTACTTTCTTTTGAAATTGTTTTGGAGCTATCATACCATTATTATTAACTATTATACACAAAGTCAATACCAAATCTAAATAGATCTTATTATAATTTACTTTTTCCCCATTTTAGGGATATGTTTGCTGGAGCACGAGAGCGACCTAGAGTCCAGCAGGATCACCATGAATCCCAATGGATCCCGCAACTACGGCCTTTTCCAGATCAACAGCAGGTTTTGTCAGGAGGGAAGGCGTGGAGGCACCTGCAATGTCAAGTGCGAAGGTCAGAAGAGTCCTCCAGGAAGTCTTTGAATTTATGTAGTTAATCATCTCGCACTTCAATCTGTAGATCTCCTGGATGAAAATCTTAGGGAATCGGCCACTTGTGCCAAACGCATCCAGACATCCGATGGATTTCGGCACTGGAATGGTTGGCAACGCTACTGCCGTAACACCCAAAATCTGCCTAATCTTAAGGTCATCTGCGGGATCTAGCAAACAATATGGTACTTATCTGTTTTCAGATTGATTAAAAAAACCTATGTCGTGTGGTGAAATTAATAGTTTTAAGAAAATTCGAAATAAAATAGATACATAAAAGGGGATCGACGATGACAAAGTAAGTGAGTTTCAGGTGTCCTGAGTTTTCGTAGTACTACAGTCCATCGAAAGTTTTGAGATTCGTAAAATTTAAAACTAAAAATAAAGCGAAATCTAGAACATTGAAATTCTTCTGTTTAAATTGTTATTCTTGGCTCAGAAAAAATGGCTAAAGGAGTCGAAAAATATTTTTCTTTTTGCCGTCATAATCTGTAATTGTTCTGTGGCAAACAAATTTTTCTTAAAATTTGGAATTAAGGAAAAGGATACCCCCAATTCAAAACTAAACCAGGCCAACTGTTGCTAAAAAATATGAGTATATATGCCACTCTAATGGAAATTTAAATTTTAATTTGGAATACCCACCCTGTAGCTTGACAAAACTTACGATCATAGGGTCTTTCATACGATATTACTCTCTCTTTATCGTCTTTCATTATCGTCTGACTTATGCTCATTATTCGCTGCTCTCCAGCTTTCTCGTTTAAGCTTTTTAGCTTTTCTGAGCATTTGAGTCACCTCATGAAATACCGCTCTCTCCCCACTTCTCATATGGGGGCACTATCAAGCTTACGTGGGGCTTTTGGACTCGTGCAAACGTGGGACTTCATTTGGCGACATCGGCCGAACGATTCGGAGCGTTTTTTTCGTTTCAATTTGGCAACGTGTTCAAAAAAAGACTTAACCAAAGAAGAAAATTTGGAAAATAGCAAAGTCAAGAAAAGAAAATTTCAGTGCCCAGTGCCAGAGATACACTCTCTTATTACAATATAGATATACTTTGAAAAGTATATGCCATGCAAATTACTGGCATGTGATATTGTGTTTGCCCCCAACCCCTGAACTCCGAAACCCTTATATAAGATACAAATGATATATGATATACAGACATATATGTGATTCATTTCCCTTCCCTGAACCGGTTCTCCAGAGATCTTCTCTCCATCCGAAAGATCTTGGGCCTCAGTCGTTGAGCTGTGGTGTGATAGAGTCAAAGCCAAAATGAAAACTCAAGTGTCTACTTTTCTTTTTTTTACCGTGCTTAAGTCTCACACGAAATGTTGTTTATGAACCCTCCTTACTCCCATTTTATGAATAAGTGCTCCCCCTGAAATGATTTCTAATGAAATCTTCCGAAATCTCCCTGTTATCCTTTAAAATTAAGTGAAAGAAATTAAAATACAATGGACATTGTGTTGGGAGAGAAAAAGTCTTGTATAATTGAAATATATTTTTTCGCCTCTTGCCCATTTAACTAAATGATTATATTAAATAAACAAAACCTACAAAAATTTCTGAGTTGTGATTTGAAGAAGTGAAAACTCATATTAGCTTAAATGCATGATTCATTAAATGTTTTATTTCGTGTTAAAACTGTAACCTAGTTAGTGCAGTGAAACTATAAACTTAAAAAATAATAATTTTATTGTGATTCCCCAACAAATTTAAAAATGACTCATTCAAAAAGAAATGATTTGTTGTGTTTAGAGATGATGCGATCAACAAAGTGCATGAGTGATCGCTAAGACAGTGATTATGGAGCATTATGTGGATTTCCATCTGAGATGATAATAAAATAAATGATCCTTGGTCCTTCCTCCTAAATGCCCAGCAAAGTGAGTTCGGTTCCTTGTGGGCTGTGAACTTTGCTAGGAAGCCTTGCAATTTTGTAATTTCCAGACTGTTCCATATTTAATTTGTTAATTTCGTAAACCTGTGAAATGCAGCATAAACTCAATTTCATTTTCTTGGATCACTCAGTCGATTTATTTGTGGGGCTTGGGGCTATTTCATCACATGGCGAAACTTGTACGAAATTCCCCGCTGCCGAACAGCTTTGTTTGCCTTTTTTCTGTTTTGTTTTTTTGTTGGTCGACAATCAGAGAACGACGCTAAGTCCACGTAGTTGATAGCGAACTGTAAACACAAAATCCAGTTTCGTTGGTGTTTGTGAGAGATCAATCGGCTACAGTAGAGCCTTCTTATCGTGGATTTTCAGTAATTGCTTTAAATTGGGCAGGAAATTCCATTCAAGTAATAACGTAAAAATTATTAAGATTTAATTACGGACTAAAATGTAAGGTTTTGTGATTTTTTTTAATCATAAGCCATTGTGAACTTTTTTATTGTATATACGAGAAACACAGATCATATGAAAATGGATCTTTCCTTGTGGAACTTCCAAAAAATAAGGCATAATGTCTGTTAAGTGAAATGTAAGAAAATAACAGAATAATAAAAGAACTCCTAAGTTTGTTGTTTTTGTTTAAACAACATCTAAAAAAAATACCTTGCGTTTAATAAGTGAATTGGGTTATTTTAAAATGTTTAGTAATTTAAATTTAATAATTCTGTGTGTGAGTTATTTCTTAATACAACTTTGAAGTATTTTCATAAGAAGCGAGGATCAAGTGCATTTTCATATGGTAAAAATGTTACTACAATTAAATGCACATTGGTTTATAAAAGCATTTTACATTCTGGGGCTTATTTTGAACGTTAAGAAACTTGAGATACCTGTCCATCATGATTTGTGTTGGCCCAGTGAAGTTCCACTGTATCCAAATGACTCTCCCTTTGTGTGCGACGCATTTCGCAATGCTCGCGAAGTGCCGCTGCCCCACCATCCACCACCCACCGCCCCCTCCTCTTCGCCGCCTTACCGCTCTGCTGGCGCCGACAAATGCCGACGCCCCTGAGCGTATAAAAAGTGCCGGCCGGCGAGCGGTTGTCATCAGTTTCCAAGCTATCAGCCTTGCGAAAGAGCGCCTCCCAGCGAACACCGATCAGAAAAACAACAAAATCCAAGCGAACAAAGCAAGCCAAGCAAACTAAGCAATCCAAGCCAAAACAAAGTATTCTGTCGAAACGCATTTACACCATCGAAGGTAAATCCACGAGAGAAGCCGAGATGAGCGAGTTGGCCAAGCTGCAGGAGCAGGATCGGGAGCAGGTTCCCCAGGAGCAGGATCCCCAGGAGCTGGTCGACTGCGACATTGATTTCGAGGAGGTGTGGCCGGCTTCCAAGGAGCGGGAGGCCAGGATTCCGGCCAGGTCCTCTGACAAGCGGTACTCCAAGGCCCTCAAGAAGGTGACCAAGGTGCAGCGCATGCTGGAGCAGGCCATGATCCTGCTCGCCGAGGAGGAGGCCAGGTGCCGGGAGCAGGAGCAGGGCCAGGAGCAGGGCTCCAAGAGTTCCAAGAAGCAGGAGAAGAAGCAGGCCAAGAAGGCCAAGAAGCAGGCCAAGAAGCTGGCCAAGAAACAGGCCAAGGAGAGTGAGAAGGCAGGAGAGGAGCCCACCAGCTCCTCCAGTTCCTCCAGCTCTAGTTCCAGCTCCAGCTCCTCCAGTTCGAGTTCCAGTTCGGAGGAGGAGGAGGAGGTCAACTTCTACGGCTGCGGCTGGGGTCGCAATCCCTGGCGCCGAGGACCCCATGGACACCATGGTTTTGGCCGCAGGCACGGTCATGGTATTGGCCACAAGCATGGCCACAAACATGGTCGCAAGCATGGCCATGGCCACAAGCACGGTCATGGACCGGGACCCCACCATCATGGTCGTCATCATGGACATCACCACCACCTGGGACCCCACCACCACCACGGACCTCACTTCGGACCCCACTTTGCACCCCACTTTGCACCCCACTTTGGACCCCACTTCGGACCCCAATTCGGACCCCACTTTGGACCCCATTCCTTTGACTGCGACCGGAGGTCCTGCCTGGGACCTTGGCAGGATCAGGGACAGTTTTTTCGGTGGATGGGCCTGCCGTGGGCCCTGGACAATGCCGCGGCCTGCCGGAGGAGCCGATCGCTGCCTAGACTTGGGCACGACCATCGTGGAGATCTCGGATTCGGGTTCGGATTCGGACCGAGACACGGATACGGACATGGCCACCCGTGTCGACCACATGACCGTCGAGTAGAGCGATCCATCTCCCGTTCGGGTTCCCCTTCGGGTGAGAGGAAGCGCTGCGCAAGGAAGTCGCGGGGCAGGAGATCCAAGTCCAGATCGAGCTCTAGCTCCAGCTCCAGTTCCAGCTCCAGTTCTAGTTCCAGTTCCGAGGATGAGAAGCGACACAAGAAGCGCAAGGGCTCCTCTTCCAGATCCAGCTCCTCTTCAAGCTCCAGCTCGAGTTCGGATAGCGATGTGGAGAGGAGGCACAGGCGCGGTCATCGCGGTCATGGGCATCACTTCGGCCCTCCGCGGGGACATCACTTTGGGCCCCATCCGGGACCAGGACACCGTGGCCACCACTTTGGGCCTCATCATGATGGCCACCATTTCGGACCCCATCATGGCCCTCATTTCGGACCTCATCATGGCCCTCATTTCGGACCTCATCATGGCCCTCATTTCGGACCCCATCATGGCCCACATCCTGGACCCCATCATGGCCCTCATTTCGGACCCCATCATGGCCCCCACCGCAGGGCAGAGTTTCCCTTTCCCCAAGAAGATCCCTTCGGTAGCCCTTCTTTCCTTCCCACTGAAGGATCTCCGCCAGCCGTTCCCTTTGAAGTTCCAGCCGAGTGCCGTCGGGGTCGCTTCCTATCCGGATCCCACTGCCAGAGGAATAATCAGGAGAGATCGCAGTCCCGTGGTCAGGAAAATGGGGGAAGGCGCAAGGAAAACGTCCAGGACAAGGAAAAGTGCCAGGAAAAGTGCCAGGAAAAGTGCAAGGAAAAGGGCAAGAAGGACAAAAAGGGCAAGAAGCACGGAAAACATGGTCATGGAAAGCATCATGGAGCCCACCGTGGTTAGGCGATCGTTACTGCCATTTACGATAAAGATCAATATTCCTTCAATATAAACTATAACCTTTTATATATAACACATATATTACACATATACACCGAAAAGCTTTACTATTATATACATTTAAAATTAACTATCAACCAAAAAAAAATAATAAAAAAAAAAAACCAAAGAAAAATATTTTGTATTTATTATAGAAGTATAAAGTGTTGATTTTGTATTATAAACATCTTTCTTATTCCACACTGTTTTTGGGATTAGCAAGCAGCTGATTTTGGTCGCCGCCTATAATTACATTATATAATATAATTAATTATATTTGACCACTCGGCTGAGTGAGCTATGGCAAATGAATAAATTTCATTATTAACGCATCGACAATGATAAGGACATTGAAAACGCAAACAAAGTGGGCAAAAAGGCCAAAACAAATTGAATCCCCTTTAGAGGCATTAAGGTACTCAAATGGAGGAGGTGTTTTTTATTTGTGGTATAGATAGTGCCGAGGTCATAGAGCTTACAGGCATGACGAATCCTGATAAGATGGGTTTTCCAAGAGGTGTTTTCCCCACACAAATGACGATTCAAAGACTTCGATAACATGCTCGATAAGGCCTCGTAAATGATAGCCGCTATCTCTCTGATTTTAGATGTTGCACCTTGCTTAATTTGATTATATGGACGGTGCTCAAGTGAAAAGTAATCCAATTAAAGGGACATAAGCACCCACAGCAGCATTTAATAAGCTCGGCATCTGGATTATAGAGTTGATGTCGGCTTGGATGGAACTTCCCCTATAAGTTGGAGCATTGGGAACACTTTGCAGGCATCTGTTCTCAGGAGGGGAAGAGCGGAGCCACTTCCTAGTTTGGCTATCAGCGACCTTTAAATCATCTACTGGCAAAAGCAAATGCAAATTTATAAAAAAATTAACAGCAACATTTTGCAAATTTTACATTTTGGAAATGGTCTTTGTGATTTTGTAATAAATAAAGAAGCTTATTTGTGTATTTTAATTTACAGTTCACAGTTGTTTTTGTATATTTATATTTATTTTAAAGTAAAAAGGGGAGGCTTAAAATATGCACTGCAATATATCCTTTTTTCTCTAGTGCAGGGTGCACATACTCCAACTTTCCCCTGCTTTCACAAGCTTAAGAGAGCGCTAAGAGAGAAAAATACTGGGAACACTTGCAGGAACACTTGCCAGGAACACTTTTCCGACCCCACAAGCAAGTGTCCCCTAATTAACTGGCGGGCGGCGAATGGGAATTGCTTTTGTCTATAGCTTGTCTGGCAGATCGGCGGGAATGGGACTACGAGGGATACGAAAGACGTGGGCTTTGGGGGTCCGTACACCCACTGGAGTTGTGGGCCAAAGTTGAAGAAACGCCGGGTAGTTGGCCTGCGTGGCTTAAGTGCTGTTTAATAATGGAACACCGCAAACTACGGGGCGTTTGAGCTAGAGCCCCGAACTCATGACCTCTGAACGGCGGACCAGGAAGCCACCGTCCTGGGAAATCACCTTTCTTTCGCCGAACATCGGGCAACAGGTGAGCACAAAAACACACACAAATCTGAGGGCGTACATTGTCAAAGGAAAACTTTATTCAATTTTTGTGACAATGTGACAGGCGCAGCAACTTTCTCTTGCCCTTTTTTGATTTTGTTGTTCACTGGTTTTTATTGTGTATGTTGACATTCCGAAAAGTTGATTTGTTTTTTAGCAGTCAATTTAAACAGTGAAAAAGATACATAATTTGTGATTTAACCCAATGTCTTAAAAACGTTATTTTAAGTGTTCAAAAATTAGTTAATAGATATTCAAGCTTTAAACCTGATTGAAAACTAGATGAAAATGGAAATAAAATGATAGAAAGAGTATAGCAATCTTTATTTGACCATTACAAAATCTTAAGATGACTTTTTAATATTTGTTTTCAAATCGATTTGTAGCCATACATTTTTCTCTCCTTGTTGGCCCTGCTCAACCTTCATTGTCACTAGCAGGTCTTTCACTCGACTCTAAACTGAAAGTTACTGTAAGCGAAATGATTTCTACTTTTCAATTTCCCAAAAACAAAGTGCGATTGAAGGGGAACGTAAAAAACAAAACCCAAAAACTGAAAGTGAGGCATGAATGGAGGAAGCTGCCGGAAGTGGATTTTTGAGCGGAAATAATTTTGCCACATGTTGGCAAAATAAAAACACAAAAAGGGAAGCAGTAACAGGGTAATGCTAAAACAAAGTCACGCGCGGAAAATCGGTGGGAAACGCGGGGAAAATTGCGGCGGGAAAACGGAGGACGTGGCTCAAATCCTTCCGTTGTCGTCATTGTCGAAAGCTTAAAATTCAATATAAGCGAGGGATCCACCTCATCCCACTCATCTCTCTGAATCCCACTTCCTGTTTCGCCCCATTTGCGATTTTACTTTCAAACGGTACGCACATATATATAGTATATATTTTTTTAATAATTTTCTTCATTTCCCTCAGACAGGTGGAAAAAAGCTAAGGGGCTTACTTCTGTGTGTGACGATGGGAAAGTATACTGAGGTGATGAATGAGTGGAATCAGTTTTGCATGGAAAAACTTTCATTTTCTGTGTTCTTTATTTTGGCTTAGTAAAATGAGGAAAATAATAAGAGTTACTAAGAGTGATTTTTAAGTGCTCTATAAGCTAGTCTTAATATTGGCTTGTTGAAAAATCCTCCTAAACTAAACAATAAAAGGAGTGTTCAATACGGTGAGTTCCTTTCTAAAATATTTGCAGGGCATAGACATAGACATAGCATAGGTTGTCATAAAGAACACAATAGTATCACAATGCTCTGCAGTTCCGCCTTTCTTGGCCCGTCCTGCTATACATAAGATACAGCCGAAAAGTATTCTCCCCGTTGCAGGTTTGAATGGCATTCCTCCTCGGTAATATCATGGCAAATAAGTTGAGATGACAGCAGTGCTCCCCTGATTTTTCCCTTTTTCGGGACCTCCACTTTTGGCTAACTGGCAAACAATGGCCGCTGTAATACTACACAATAGATATTTGTCAGGGGGCAAGGCGTTGCTAGGTGCGAATGCAGATACATAGAAAGTTATACGAATGTTACGTGAGCAGAGTGCCTGAGCAGTGGAAAGTGTAACAATGGGCGGGTGACCCCGACACCTTTCCCACCCCCCTTCACCGCCCTCCACCCAGTTGGCGAATGATAACCCTTAGCCCAGTTGCAACGCATTTCGTATGCAGCTCTTGTCCGGCAACGCAACCTTTACAGTTCTGGCTGCTGGTTCTGGTTCTGGTTCTTCCGCCCCCTAATGCTCTCCTTCACTCTTTCGGTTCCATTTCCAACAGCCGGGCTAAACAAACAAGGGGAAAGATAAAGACGGAACAGTGGGAGCAAGATGTAAAGACAAAAAGTGCAATTTGCAAGGACAACGCTGCGTATGCGCGATGTTTAAGACAAATATTTGGACTTCAATATACCCGCAACTTTACTTTCTTTATTTGATTTGAATTTTGCAAAAGCAAGAATCATTGACAGCTGTTTGGCGATTTTCAGTGATTAGAACTACAAAAAAATAATAAGGAACGAACAAAGCAATTCCTCAGTACAACCCCGCGTATGCGTAATATGAAAGTTATAAGAAATTATTATAATTTTAAATAAGACTTCCAAATTAAACTAGCCTACAAAAAAACAATGGACTGTTAAAGTACGCGATACTGGGGAATCTTTAGTCGTCTGGCCCAACTTTAAACGGCCAAATTTATGAACTAAGCGAGCAATTTTAGAAGCAGCTACTAAAACTATCTTTAGCTTCGGTTTCCTACCAAGCAGAAGATACATTTATTGGCAGAAATATGGAACAACATATATTTATGCTGGGGAAATTCCAATGCGAAAATAGCCATAAATATTTGGGTATTAAAAACTGGGTAATTGAAAATTGTGCCGAGAATCGAAACTAAAGCGACGCAAAATGAGAAATGCTGCCCGAAACGGCAATAAAATTAAATTGTTTAAATTGCCTGCAGACTGGTCGGTTGTCAAAATGTTGCAGACAATAAATTATCCCAGTGCTATTTGCAAATATATGTGTCCAGGAATTGGCAATTAGATTGAACGGCTCCCCAAGCGAAAAGAGGAGTACTATCATTTTAAGCCTTGTTAATAATTTATGAAAAGCCGGTGCTTCAAATATATGCAATATTCGAAAGCTTTTAAAAATACCAGCTAGCTTAAAGGAATTTCTGAACACTTTTTGATGCACTTCGATTTAATTATTTAAAATTTATTTTCCCAAAGGTGTTTTGTTATAGTTTAATATTGAAATGGATAGCCAGTCCTTGGGTATTTTCTATATTTAATATTCCTGGAATTCGTTTCATGTTTATCTCTTTTTAGAATTATTTTTATTTCCTTTTCCAACTTTCTTTAAGAATTATAATATCGATTTGGAATACCGCCACGTTCGAGCAATTTATGGCAATTAAGTTTGAGGCGGGGCAACTTTGCCTGTGCGAAATCTGCATACGAGATGTGACAAATTTGACGCTATAAAAGCCAATTATTCCATTTACTTAGTCCCTGCTCTCGGCTAGCACACACACCCACATGCAAATTAAATCAAAATCTTTATTAAAACATTTTATGCAAATGAATAAATAAGCAAGTGGCGGACAGGAAAAAAAAAGAGGCAGAGAAGGAAAACATTGGGAGGAAAACTGACTGACAGCCGTCAGAGACGTTTCAGATAGAGACGGAGATAGTCTGGGCGAGGGAGACAGCTACAGTTACACATTTGCATAAATATTACAAGGCTATTACTCGCCGCCCAAGTGCCACGCCCCAACGCCCGCCTCATAGGCAAATACGCGTGTGTGTGCATTACAATAATATGAAAATTATTTGTAATGTAATTTCAACTTAATAAATGTTCATTTTCATATAAAGCGACAACTCATTTTATACCGCCAGCAGGTAAGTGTGTGCGTACACTGAGACAAATGGGGGCCGAGTGGTCATACGTAAGCAACTCATCAATCAATCTGGCTCAAAAATAAGTGAACCAGTGCGATAGTTTCAATGGAATACGTGAACTAGATGTATGTATAATATAGTGATAGTGAGTTAAGTTGCTTATGTATTTCTTTCAGTGCTTAGCAGGCGGAATGGAAGCCGACAATGAGTAAAGTGACGGCAGGAGGAGCTGTAAGAAGTGAGAAAAAAAAGGTGAAAGCCAAGAGCACGACAGGAAGTAAAGTTCTCGAAAGTGAATTTGCATAAACGTATGAAATTTTAATATTTACGGCAAATTTTCAACAACTTCCCCGTTTCCCCCAAAAAGTCACCCGAATCTCGGCTGCACACATACGCACTGTGCACTCAACTTTCTCCCATTTCACCATTTTCCTTTTGAGCTGCATACTTTCGGGCGCGCACACACAAAAAGTTTTCCCAGCCTACGGAAACTCATCTACAGTACCTTTATGTAGATGTACATGTAGATGACAATGTTGCTTTCCGGCTGCGCAAGTGGGCGCTGAATGGAGGGGGCGGGGCAGGGGAGAAGGGGGCGGGGAGAAAGGCACTCACCGAGTGTAAACTAAATTGAGTTAGCACTGAATTGGGCAATGAGCACGGAACTGGAGGAAGGGTCCTTCATCTACACGGAGCGGATTCGCCTCAATTGCGGGTGTTTCAAAATTAAATCTGGGTCGCCTTAATAGGCTGAATAAGTCGTAGTTTAACTGGAGTTGATGTATTCAGTGTGGTGGTCGTTTCTGTTTAGATTATGCATTTTTAGGAGGAAACTTTTCAAAAGCCGTTTATCACGCATTTTTAGCCACTCTGTGCTTTCACTTACTGCCTAAAAACCATGACTTAATTTGTTCATTTTTGTAAAAATATATACATTATTATTTTATTATTTAGATTATTATTTCTTGGGGCTTAGTGGAATATTTGGAGCCCCAAATCCTCGTCAGAGCTCCATTCCCACAGGGGACTTATCGATTCGGGCAGTCTGATTTACCGAGGCGGAACTGCTCCAGTTTCGGGTAATTCATTTGGTCACACCAGGTGGGCACTGCCTCAAAGGAATTGGACTTGGAATTATTCCAAGGATTCGATCCGCTGTCCAGGTGGCGCATGCAAACTGGCCAGTGCCCAAGGATGTTGGTCCTGGGGCAGTGGCATTATGGGGATTGCCAGGGGTCAGGAATAACTTCGGTCTTGGCAACAAACAGAGCTTCTTTGTGGGCAGAAATAGCCTTTGTTTATCGGTCCATTAGCATTAAGCCCCGCGGCTATTTCACATTCGTCTGCAATTAGCGCTGCCATTTAAATTATGCCTTACAATCTGCATCGCTTAAACACTTTGTTTACTCCATCGGTCCGCTTAAATGTTAGTTTAAACGTTTTGGACTTAAATACGCATATAACGCATATAAGTAGCCAAATTGTTTTCTAAATATTCTCTTTTGAATCGACTTCACGTTCGGATCGCTTTTAATGTACTTTTTAATGGCTTTTATTGCCCTGGTCAATCGGTTTTCGATTGTTTTTGAAAAAATCACTCTACGCATTGGAGCACATTAAATTGCCATTGAGCATGGATAGCATTCGTAATCGACGATTGGCCCCCGACCCACAACACCCGACTGACCCCTGACCCCTGACCCCTGACCACAGACCCCACATCTGACTTCGCAAATTGGCCATTGTCAAAGTTTACTCTGCCTTACCCTTTGATGGGTCCTTGCTAAATTAACTGGCAGAAGAGGGTTAAATGGGTGCGATGATTGCACTTCTTGGCAGGTATTTTCAGAACACTGCTTTTAGAATTCGTTTATTCTAAAATATAACATAGCCAAAAGGTCTTTATACAACAAATATGAACTTAAAACATGTAATATGTTTTTTCCATGAATTTAAAATGATTTTTACTCCTTAAAAACAACAAAATATATTTATTTTAATTCATATAGTTTTTTAACCAATATCTCTAGTAGCAACATTAAAGGTTGTTCAGCGTTTAATTTGCTGTTTTCAGGGTATCGTCTCCATTCACTTCCGGTCTCGTAAATTATTTTTCGTATGCGAGCTGGCATTTCAGATTTCATTAGATATTGATTGCCAACTTGCAGCCATGCAACGTGGAAGATCAAAGTTTTCCGCCCGCTTTTCCGCAGTCGACGCCGGTTCAAATATTTTCCTTTGACGTTTCACTTCATAAATTGATTAAGGCGATATCTGTGCACTGGTCATTTACAACATAAATGAAAAATACAAAAATTATGTCATGCGCGTTCGTGTGTATGTTTCTACGTGTTGTACACACAGAAACACAAAGTATTTCCATTTTATTACTCGCAGTGGCCCTTTGCAGTAATAAAACTTCATTTATGCAGAGAACTCGCTGATGGATTAATGGTCAAAAAGAATGCAAAATTATGTGTATTAATTTAATGATGAAAACTGCATAAAGCATTAAAGTTGTTAATAGACTTATTCGTACTTTAAATGACACATTTTTTATTCTCAATCTCCCATAAAATTGATTGCCTAATGTACAAGTGATATTGAGTTCATTGAAAGGCTAATACCAATGGAAATAGACACGTAGAACTGAAAATATATTAGAATCATTTAAATATAATTAAATGTGTCAAGAACAAATCACTTATTTTTTCTCAAACTTTTTTATCCCATTTTAGCGTATAAAATAATTTAAATAGAAATGATTGAGAAGTTGCATTACAGTTAATTTTCCCGATATATAATTGATGCTTGTGCGAAAAACACTTTATCGAGTGTGTCCGTTGGCGGACAGTTATTGTTTATCCCCCTTTTTGGGCGGCTGCTGCCTGATTGTAATTAAAACTGCTTAATTTGCTGTCAATACAAACATACGCACCCCCCTCCCCCCGCATTTCCACCCCAACAGCCACCCACCAAGGCCTTTCGGCCTGTCAACACGACGTAATTAACGCTGCCCCCGAAAAAAAAGGCGGAAAAAAGTGGGGAAGCGAAAAATGCGGCTAGTTTATTTGGGCTCAATAATGACGCATTGGAAAATTCACTTACTTCGCCCGTTTTCTTGTTTTATTGCCAATGAAACAAAGCCGGTTTTAATTAAACGCCTCCTGTCATTTTTATCGTTTGATGCGGTTGGCCTCATTACACATAGGGTGGCATTCATTTGATGGGGGGATTTTTTTGGGGAGTTTTTCGGATTTACCGTGGAGCCTGACTCGGAGCTAGCGATATTTAATTGTTGTTTAATTGTTCGTTTTGTCGGATGAACATGTCTGTTTAATGGGAGTTCATTGACGGAGTTTATTGTTTTTTACCAGTGAATTAATAATATATAAGCCATATTTCATTATTAATTGCACGGGCTCAAAGAAAATGTATATTCATTATTTACTGCGTAACGAATTGCATATTCTGCGGTATGAAAATCATTTACATTTACTTAATTAAAATTAATTATCTTAAATTGAAAATTTAATTGATTTGCTTTAATTCCGACTCTTGCATAATCATCAAAACAATGTGAATTTACCAAATTTTAAATAAAATTATTATAATTAAACAAATTAATTAAGTTAATTCCCTAGAACAACAAACATGCAACATTAACTTGGAAAAAAGTTTTGAGACCGAAAACGGTGCCTACGACTGACGCACATCTCAAAAATCTAATCAGCATACAACATGCAACATGCAACATGCAACATGCAACTTGACACATCCATCGCAAAACATGCAGTAAAAAATGCTAAATGTAACATGTAACATGCAACATACCACATGCAACATGCAACATACAACGTGCAACCAACACGCAATGTGCAATAAGAAACAAAACACTTGTTCAATGTTAAAAACATGTACTAATTGCCACGTCGTCGTCATCGGAATTGTTAATTTTAATTTAATATTTTTACACTTTTTTTTTAAACATTTTTACAATTCCCAATCAGTTCTAGCCAAAAATTCACGACCTGGCGGCTGTGGCACCCGATACTTGAGTTGACCCGAATGACCGAAAGTCAGTGTGTATGTGTTTTGATGAGATGCAGATGATGTATGCTGATGCTTCTAACTTGGAGAGGACACCAGGATGCAGGATCAAGGACCTTTATGGTAGGCAGTATTAATACGAATTTATTAACTAATTTATTTTAAATTAAATTTTTTAAATTCTAATTTCAGGTTCAGTGTGTAAGTGAGTGGTAAGACGGAGAATTTGGGTACCAATGAAATGGATCGGCATGAAACGGTTGCAGGCGACTTATGGAAACCATTTACTTAAACTGGAATCCACGATGCAGTGCTTCAAGAACCTTTCCGAGTAAGTACCACTTATAGTATTATTTAATTACTTAGTATTATTATTATACTTAGTAAATTAAACACGTTTAAAATTATTTATTTAAATATGATAGTCATAGTTCCGAAATGTAAAATATGTGCCAGAAACATTTGGGTGCAAGTTTCTTTAAAAACATGGTCCAAGCTTATTTTCCTAAAAAAAAATTTTAAATGATTTTTATTTCGTGTAATCAAATACAACATTTTCTAAAATTTGTTTAGTCAACCCGCTGCAGTAAAGTCTGTTCTTTTTTTAATGTATATACGAATGCCCTTCTAAGAAAAAATAAAGATATATTTATAGCAGACTTAAGCCCTTAGAACCAAAAATACATTTCACTTTCCAGCATTTATTGATTCCTTTGCTTGTGGTCCTTGAGCCTTCGCACATTAATTAAGCCAAGGACTTGTTACATATAAATACTTTTCGTCTGAAGTGGCAGCTCTCGGTTTCTATGGCTGCAGTCTAATCCTCCCACCGATAAGTCTCTCCGATTCAATTAAAAGCTGCATTGCCAGCCGCAACAAATAGGTAATCAATACCGTCTGTGACATCGAACGGCAGGCTAAAGGACCTCTCCGGAGGCAGACAGTGCGGCACATAAGGGTAAATGCAGCCGGGGGGCGACGGGCGTGATTGATGTTTAGCATTTGACCCGGCGACTGCAGATTGCCTTCCGTTCTCCACGAGGACTCAGTCGAGTCGAGTTGAGTTTGTCCTGGTTTGCCGAGTGCATCCTTCTTTATGCCATGCATAAATTACGTGCCACCAGCAAGGACTTTTCACTTTGTTAACTTTGTGAAAATTGCACAGACACACACAGCGACTTGGACACACATCCGGCCATCGGGAAAACTGTTGCTCCCGGCGGGAAAAGCACTTCTCCTGCATTCTCCGAGATAAGACAAGCGGCTTATTGTCACATCGAAATGCCAGTAAGCAGGCTTCAAAATACAAGAGCTTCCGGAACTTCAAGAGAATTTGTTTCATAAATTATTTACTTTATTTAGCAGCTCATAACATATGGAATATCCGTCCATGATAAAACTAAACTTAAAAATATATGTGTGTTTTAAAAGTAAAAACGTAATAAAATAAAACAATAACAGTGAAAATAGATAAACGGTCCTTAAAACTATCTAAAACACTTTAGTAGGAGCTAAATCAAAGCTCTTTAAAATACCTAAAAGAAATGCAATTTACCCCTCCTTTTGTGCCCACGGAAATGTCGGGTTTGCAACAAATTGAGCGCATAAACCTTGGAAAACCACCGAATAAGTGAAGCTAAATTCTGCGCAGAGCCAGTCCGATCGAATTTTCCGCTGGTGAAAAAGCGGAGTTGGGAACTGGAATCGATTCCATGCATTTACAATGAGCTGAACGCCACATGCACATACCGAGCTACTCGGATGGCATGTTAATTAACTAAATCGTTTTAATGGCTCCTTTTGAGATGCGAAAGCAAGGCGCCATTTAAATCTTTACTAAGCTGTTGAGCAAAGCGCATTAAATTGTAATGAGAGGGCGGCACAAAATGCTTATATTTTCCATTATTTCGCTTTTTCTGCCTGGCCGAGGTCATGGCTTGACAAGCCGCTTAAAACATTAACTTATTATTCCACTTTTTTTTTCTCCTTACTGGGGCATCAGTGGCAAAACAAAGGGAATTGCTTTTAATTATGACTGGGGCTAGACGAGCGGAATGTTTTGAAGTTGCCATTGCCACTAAGGCGACCTATTAGACCCTCGAGGATTCTTCGACATTAGCCTAATGTTTGCTTCCAGTGCGAAAGACTGGTGGACGGGAGAAAGGCATTGCTTGAATTTAAAGATTTCCTTGTATGATAATTGTAACTGCTAAATAACATGTAACAAAATTTAATTTATGCTGCACAATGCGAGCTAAACTATAAATAAACTGTGAACTTATTCACTGAAAAACAATTAGATTGATAGTTAAATTATATTTTCCAAGTATTTCAGTTTCTTCCAAGTATTTTAACCCTTGACATTAAATATTTGAAGAGATAATGTTCCTCATATACACATTGTATCGTCAGCCGTAAAAGTCTAAGTCCTTCGAAAGCCATGCAAGGATGTTCACCAGTTTTTAATTGTTTTCCGTAATTAGAGTCATTAAGAGCACATCCTCGCGAGGACACGAGTACAACTTTTTAATAGATTCTCGCGGAGAAGGGTAGCCTCGTAATCCCAATTATCCGGCAGCTGAAGACAATGGCAGGAACAGGAGTCGCAAGGTGTTGGCTCATCCGTTTTGAGTACTGCGAACAATTGCTCATCATTTGCGATTATCAAGGCCATTTGCAATTTGTGGAGCAGCAGCGGGACCTATTAGGCACTACCTTCCTCACACACAACATCTTGGTGATCAAAGTGCTTTCGGGATACAAAGGAGCAGCAGACCAAAAACCGAACGAGACGTGCTAATTGCCAGCATGAACGAGCTCTCCGCCCAGCGAACACAGAGTCCACAACATTTCGCAAAAGCTGCCAAATTACATTACACATACGCCACGTTGCCAGACAGAGCATTCCGCTGGCTGGGGTTATGCAAAGAAATACGCACGGCATTCACTTAATCAGACAATTATGTCTCGCTAATATCGAAGTAATCTTGAGCTTAATGCTTTTAATTTCGCCCATAAGCCGTTGAGGGCAATATTCAGCACACGGAAATCGCGGTTTGAGTGCCAGGAGTCGCCATTTTTCAATTAAAACCGCTAGACGCATGTTGCTACATGAAAGAATCGAAAATTTGTTTGAATGTTAAGGACAAGGACTCGACTGTGCGATACCCTAGCGCATAGCTTTGAATGTGGAGGTTGGTTTACTTAGCAAAACTGGTAGATTTCCAATTTGTTGCTTGAAGACAGCTTAACTCAGAACCAAAGGAATAATCTAAAAGTTAGTTTTTCTATTATTAGGCTATCTATTTTTTGTGGCTCACCTAAATAAAGGATATAAGAAAATTGCTAATAAATTTATGATATAGTTCGACCACTTTTTTAATGAAAATAATAGAATAGATTTCTTGTATATAGTTTAGATTCAACATAACCCGAATCCAAGAAAAGCAATATATAAACTAAATGCACATTTCCACAGCACTTCCTTTTCCAGGGTATAGTGGCTATAAAAAGGTTGCTCGTGGCAGGTGGTCGGCCTTGGTGCCCCGCCCACCTTCGCTGGAGAACGCCCACCTCCGCCGGGCCATCTGTCAGTGGGTCTGTCAGACGCTTTTTGCTGCAAGTTGCCATGCGCAACGGAAAAACCGCTGCTTATGGTGGCTGCTGGTAAAAAGCAGAGAGCTAAGACCAAATCAAATTGCCCTTTGGCGGACGGGAAAAGCGTGGGCTTCGCCCACCGAGCGGTAGTTGTCTGCAACGGGAGCCGCTGCACACGCGGCGTATGCGCTATATCTGACCTTCGGTCAAAGCCACATTAAATATATACATATGCGAGCACTATTAAATTATCTCCTGGCCTTCGGTCCTCCGTATTGCAGCATCGGTTTCAGCGGCAGCTCGCATTAAATTAGTTTAGTCCGACCTTCTTGCTTTTCCCGCCCGGAAAAGTCCGGCTTGTTGGACACTGGACTCGCCGTAAGCCCTTTGAAATTCCATTGAAGCGGGCAAACTGTTTGTAATTGTTGCGGAATTATGAATAATTATGAAAGTTGGGTTTCATGAAACTCACTCACAGTTGTGGTTTACTTTCCATTTTGAACTGGGGATTTATTTGCAACGAAAATATTAGCAAAAAAAGGAGCAGCAATTTAATTACTATCCTTTGTGTTCGTTTTCAGCGTGTATTCAAAACAGGATAGGACCGCCTTTTAAAATTAATATAATATTGTTATGACTCAATCATATTTCATAGAGAATAAGATGTTCTTGAATACCAATTTTACCCTAGCAAAAATCTGTTTATTTTCTACTTTGATTTATTTTATTACTTTCTTTTAATGACATTGCACATTGTAGTTCATCTAATATTTTAAAATGATTTTGTAATATCGCTTTTTAACTTCCGCCGTCGAGTCATCGGGCACAAAAGCCCCCATGAATTTCTTGCTTATCTGGGAGATATGTATTTATTTTTACCGACCACTAAGTTGCATTTTTCACTGCAGTACAGAATTTTCCACAGCGGGGGAAAGCGAAGGGAAAGCGGAAGCAAATGCCTGCTTTTCTTTCCCTTTTGCCAGACAAATTCGTATGCCATCTATATAATTTGTAAGTGTGTGCCATGGAGTTGGTCCCATGTGGAGTTGTGTTTGTGGTCCTCGGTGGGATATTGGCACGCACACAGCATAAGCAAATGCATAACGGGACCGTACACACATCCTTACATGCACACATACACACATACACGCACATGCACACGCACACGCACATAACAATAACCGAGATAAGTAATAGCAAATTGCTGGCATCGTTCACTTTCCCACCCCATTTCCCCATTTTCCGGGGGATTTCCTCGTGGATGGGAGCTGATAGACTGCAATCTTGAGAGTATTTATACGCACACCCACACTTTGCGTTTAGTGTCTCCTAATTACTGCCACTGCTGTGGTAATCACGATTTAAGCGTTAATCCGTCCCATAAGACCAACCACGCCCACTTTGTGGGCGGGGGGGACGAAGGGGTTACCCCACAGATCGGGAGCTATATGCGCGTACGTGTCCTTAGGAATGTCATCTATGCAAATGAACAAACTAAGCCGAGAAGATAAGGCAGGAACTCGCACAGGAACTCAAAGATCACAACAGAAATATACTCATTGTGCAATTGGTTCAATATTATTAGGATATTATTATCGATGTTTCTAAAATGCATTCAAAATGTGTGTTTTTATATAAAGGAATATTAGTTTAAATCCTTTTTGCAGTCAATAACTAACCAGAAATATGTAGAAATAACTAACAATAAAAATATGCACTTAACATAATTATTTATCCTGCAAAGTGATTTAAAAATACTGCTGTTTTTTTTCCACCAATTCCAATACATACATATGTACAAAAAATGAAAAATGTTTCTCCATAAAATCATCCCATAAAAAATTGTGGGTCCCAAAAGAGTAATGCCCCAAGTAAATAGTTCGCCGTGGGTAGCACATCGAAACGGGATAAAAAGGCATTTAAAGCAAATATGTTGAATTCAATTTGTAACGCACACACAAACGCGAACACCTTATAAATGCCCCCAGGGGGTTGGTTGTGTGGGTGGGACACACACGCACACACATGTGGCCAGGTACACAGTGCGAAAAAGGGGGGGAAGGGGTGTTCTTGTTTGTTGGTTGTCAAAGAAATACCAATACGACAAATACACGCATTGTGAGCAGATATTTTGCCACTTCCGTCTTTAACCCCCAACGACCAAAATTGAATTGAGGAATGGGAAAAGGCCGTGGGCTAAGAAAAAGCTAAGATGGCATACCCGATGTTTTCCTACTCTTCGTGTCGACATTTGTTTGAATTTACCAGCTGAAATAATCATGATTTTAGGTGAAGGGCATAGTTTGTAATAGGAATGGCAATCTTTAAAAAAAAAGGAGGTGAAACATAATTTTTTGCCCATCATGTCCGTGAAAAGAGTAAAGAAAACCAATAAATGATTCAAAAGAGATAAATTTAGAATACATATACACCCGTGACGCACACACACGCCAAGTTTTCAAGCGAGTCGAAATTTGAATGACAAAGTAAAGAGCGGAAAAGGAAAGTCCCCAAAGAGTTTTCCCGGCTAATGGCATTTGAGTCGTTGCACGCGTCCGTCCAAAACATATTGATTGTCTACACAGTTCAAATTATACAAATATTTGTATTTGTTTAATAATGCATAGTTTTCATACATTAGCCGAGAAAGGTGTGCTCTCATTGATTGATTATATGTGGAAAATTGAATTTAAAATGTATGAAGAAAGGAATCAAACGTAGATTTCTAAACAATTATTGCCATCTTGTAAAATAATGTTTTAATTATTATGTTTTAATTATTTTAGTAATGTTAATAGTATTTAAAAATAATGTTGATAATATGGCTTAACAATTATAGGCTAATTATATCCGTTATGGGTATGTAAATATATAATTACCTAATTTAAACACAGTTAAATCTATTGTTTTAATACACATTGATAAGTCGAATAAATAAGCACAAATGGGTGATAATTGTGTTGCGAATAGGAGGAGGACTTAAAAGGGAATATTGGTATTGGTATATTAACTGGGCTGTCACCTTAAAAACATTCGCAAGCTGCGAGTCTTTATCAAGGTGGTATTAAGGTGTTCGAAGCAAGAATTTTGGGGATTCAGCACTTGACACCTGATTTGGAACAATGCAAATTGTGGAGCTCTTGTGCGATTTACGTCCGTTCGAGTGTACGTACAATTTCCAATCGGATTAACCGACACCGTCGAATGAACTAGCACACTTGGCGCACTTTCCCAGGACTCTCAGGATTCTCGGAGATTCGCCAGCGAAGTCCCAGAGGCATATCAATCACTCGGATCCCAAGTGCCGCAATTGTGCTGACCAAATCCTATGAATTTCAAATCACTCTTGTAAGCAATACCCAGCAGTTTTCGGAAAATTCGGGTATGAATGAATAAATTGTTATGTAAACTACTGAATTTTACCTAAAACTACTGAACATTTCCTAAATAAAATTAGTAGTTATATATAAATGTATATAAATGCTTTCTAAGTGAACAATAAATTTAGGGAAAAAAAATGTCAATCTAAAAACCAATAAATAAATAAACAATAAACAAACATTGTAATCTTACGGATTCGCTTATGATTAAAATTGAATCTCGTTAACATATTTGTATAAGTTGGATAATATTTATTATTTGTTTTAAGTACTTAAAACCATGGCTCGAATCTCTTTGAACGCCCAAATTATTCCGCCTTATTTTCTTTCCTTTTTTCTGTCTACTATTTCCCTGTCGTCATACTTGCCAACTCAGCTGCTTTATGTGTTTTTTCTGTCGAGTCCTGGGAGGTCTTCCTGACCGTAATACTGATGCGAGTAGACTTTGGACTTCCTCAGCAGCGCAAAAATGCAATTATAATCCCACCAGGCGGCAACTGCAACTGCAATTGAAATTGCAACTTCAACTTTGCATTTCAAAGCGTATGTGAGAGTCCCCGGGCGAAATCAGAGGGACGAAAAGTTGACAGCAGAACGTGTTCGGGAAATTTAAAGCTTACTGATATTTTTGGTCTCCAATATATGGACAAAATATATGTGTTTCTCACAACAGTGAAACAACTATAAGTCATAAATTTCACCACTATAACACAATAGCTTCATAGTATCTAATCTACATAAATACGGACATGAACTAAAGGGCTTGACAAAAATTATTGATGGTGCTGACAATATGTGTGTGGTGTGTTTGGTAATCCAGAAGGACGGGCAGGTGAATCAATGCAAAGCTTGCTTTGTTAACAATAGTAGTGCCCCTTTATGCTTTTCCCGGGGCTCAAGTCGTCCACTTGGGCGACGAGTTGAGCTGGGTGAATGGGCTTATTGATTCCGGCAGTTCCACTCATAAACTGGGATCTAATCGAGTGGCTGAGCGACTCAAGTGCTTTGGATGGAAACCAAAGCAACACTACTGATAGCGATATATAGTCGCAAGTCGGAAACATGACAAGGAAGTCAATTTTCCCTTTTGCTTGAGTCCTGGAGTGGAATTTTACGCAGACGAGTCGTTGAACTTCTAATTGTTCACCTGGTTCGCAAGTGAAAGGCAGCAGAAATCCGCAGCAACAAAGCATCAATCAGTGGCAAATCGAATCAGGGTTCAATAGAAATCGCCCAGAAATAATCCAGCCACATGCAATGAAATTAAAAAGGACCTATGACAAAGGACCCGAACGAAACTGATAAGGAAATTGCATTTCGACATTCTCTGCGCTACATAAAAGTTAATGACTTTTCCATTTTGCGAATTTCCCCGGCAAGTCAATGACCAAAAAATCAAAAGCATAAAAAAGCATAAAAAAGCAGCCGCATAGCTTAAATCATAAAACAAATTTTCCCGATGCCCTGCGAAAGCGTATCATAACACAGCTCACGAGTTTGGCTTTTCATGAAATGTTTGGATAAACTGTTGAGGAAAACCGACTGTTATTTTATCATTTAGCAAGCCAAATAACTGCAAAGTTTATAGCATTTAATAACTCAAAGTTGGTCTTTCCACAAAGCCACCTTTTCTATTTTTCGGTAAAATCGAGAAGAGCATCTGCCGTTCGCCTGCAGGACGATGGAAATCCTTTGATTGAGTAAGTTCTGCCGAGATGCGGTTAAGGCTGGATGTTCACGAGCTCTTGATGGTTTGGGGATTTCACAGCCAAGTGTCAAACACCTTTATACTTTCTGGTCGATGGCAAACAGCTGAGAAAAACTCAAAAACAAAGCGCGGCGCTAAGAGATTAAAAACGATTAACAAAAGCAACAATGCCGGGCAACAATAACGGCTGGGAAAACAAGAAAAACAAGTGAAGTCAAGCAGGGGCCATGTAAACAAAAAACGCCGAGCAAGGAAAAGCGCAGACGCGCGGATAAGGTGGAAACTCAAGGCAGGCGGATAAAAAGCGGCGGATATCCAGCAGCTGGGAACACTCCATCGAGGTTTTTCCGACGCTTTTCCGAACGCCAACGAACGGCAAGCCGCTGCCGAAATGTCCGCCAACAATTTTTCGAATAAAACCAAAGAAATTTGTTTGTTTTGATTCAGTCGTTGCGGGTTTTTTAAGGCGAACACACAGCCTTGAGAAGAAAACCGGAGACCAAAAAAAAAACAGAATTCAATAACCGAAAACCGAATTCCGGCTAACTGAAAAACGTTTTTCAAAATCACCGAAAAAAAAAAACATAACAAATGTGGAAAACTTTTCAACAAATTGAGAAAGCTTAAAAAAACATACAAAATAAATACATTTTTTTCTACATTTTTGTTTCTGTGCTTTGTGACCATAAAAACTCATGAAAAAATAAATAGAAAATTTCCTGAATGCCGGGAATTTATCAGGTAAATATCGCTTTTCCCAGGCTATTTTTTGTTAACGCAATAGGCATGCGAAACGCCAACTGACAGCCAAACAATGGCAAATATTTATAGCTGGCCCTCGAAGGCATAAACAAGCTCCGGAATTCCTCGGCGAAATCAAAGAAAATGTTTTCCTTGTCCAGAATCTCTGGCCATTTATCAAGTGGACCCTACAAATCACAGGGAATTACTGCCCTAGATTATGATAATATGTCTCGGCCCAATGGGTTTAACAATAGTTTTTCCGCCCTTTGTGCAAAGTTTACAAATTGATTTTAACTCGGCAAAATAATTGTGGCCCTGACTTTTCCCAAAGATCTTTCGCTGCTTTATGTTCTCGGAATTCCCCGCTCTCGAAAGTTAAAATATTGAATTTTTAAACTGTTTTTGTCCAACTTCTTGGCCCGCATAGTTTTGTGGATCTTATCCGGCGCAAACTTTTCGCAGTCAACGCTGGCAAAACAGCTTAAAGTTGAATAAAATAGGAAAAAAAACACAGTGAAGAACGAAACTTAATATGAAAGGAACATAAGAACTAGAGAATTTCCAGTTTGAAACTTATCAGGCAGTAAACTTGCACTTGCCTTGACTTTTCTCTAAGTTTGAGTTAAAACAGAATGTACGCTGTCTGAAAAAATGGCAAATAGTTATTAGCATTATTTTTAATATTTGTTAATACCTATTAACTAACAAATACATAAGTATTTGATAAAGAGAACATACATTTCAAGTGTTTAATGTCACAATTCAAAGCTAACAATGACTATGAGTTTAAAATTGCACTAATAGATTTAACCAGCGGAAGTGAAATAGCACATGGCTCTTAATTTTTCCAGTGTACGACTGTCCAATATTCCTGTAGCTGACAGTCTGCTCCTTTGTTGTGTTGGTAACTGTCGAAAGTGCGCTTTTCATGTGACAGGATGCCGGCCAGGGCTTCCTTTCGATTCGCCCCAGCATTTTCCAAAGACGTTGCCACTTTCCCCGCACTTTCCCGCAGGGTGGCATCGATTTTTGAGTCCACAATGGTCAGGCCAACGACAACTGGCAATTATCAGAGTCGGAAACCTATTAAAATTATATTTAATGCACTTAGCTGAGAGCGCGATTAGGTCAAGGGGGAATGGCCAGCTGCGAATGGAAAATCAGGGGTCGTGGAAATGGGAAAATGGCTGCACTGACAATGAATTAATTTGCTCTCCCTCGATTGGTTTTCCCAATTCACATTTTATTGCACCCATTCATGTGAAAACATTAATGAAGAGTTAAGGATCGAAGAGGAAAAGCTCCATTAAAGAAACTATCACTGGCGAATACTCAATTAGGGACTTGTCATTTAATCTGCGAACAGGAGTTAATTTATTTTTTATACTGGCACTTGCTCGACTTATTTCCCAATAAATACGGTTTGTTTAATATGCATTTGGAGAAGAGCTGTTATTAATGTCAAAGGAAAAGTTCTTTGCTTCTTTTACATAATTAAGCCGACATTCAATCGATTCGCATTGATGCTGCACCAACTTGGAAAAGCAAAAAATTGGGCTTTTCAGCGGCGGTCAGATTCCGTTGCCTAAATGGAGTACTTATAATGGTATGTCCGAATAAATGGCGAAAAACATGAAAAACCTTTTGAGTTTTGACCTGCGGACAAAGCAAAGGCAGAAAGTGCGGTTGCAAACAAAAGTATGAAGGAGTTAAGCCAGAAAAAAAAAGGAGAAAAGCCCGGGGAAAGTGCAGCACGCACAAAGGCAAATGTCGAGAAGCCAATTCGGATGGCCGAAACCCTTTTGGCCACCATCCTGTGACCTTGCACCTCCACCCACCTCATTGAACTCGGCCGATTCGCCCCTTTTTTGGGCCGAATTATTGAAAGAAAAACATTAAGAGCCCTCTGTTTGGTTTTGCGGTCGGTCAGTTGGCCACTTTTTTATGCCAGCTAAATTTGCACGCAGTCGAGCGGCAAACAAACAAAGCTCCTTGTGATCCCGAGGCCTTCTTTCGCCTTTCCCCGCTTTCCCTCGCTTTCCCTCGCTTTTCCTCGCCTTTCCTTCACTTTCCTTTTGGGGTCCACTTAATGGCACCTGTGGCTCCTGCTAATCATGATTTTAATGACTTCTGGCCCCGGTTGTTTATGAATGCCGGCGAAAGGTTTATCGGGCATCGCCTGACCCACAAGAAAAAGGTTACAATTAATTTTTTAAATGCTTTACAGCCAAAGTTTGTCTTTGTGTTGATTCTCTTTTTTTTTTTTGTTGTTGAGGATTTCTCCCGAGCCCTCCTGATTGAGTGTTAAAAGTGCAATTGTGGGGCTGGAAGTAAATTGTTGCTAATCTGGCCATTATAACAGGGATCCCTAATAAGTTATTTCCCCCGTTTCCACTATCAGCGTTAATGTACTCGCTAATAACTGCTGAGGATCTTAGATGGGGCAACTTGTTTAACGAAAATATGGAATTAGTTATTAGTACTCAGATAATCAGATCATTTTCTGCTTGTGAAATAATGTAGATATTAGAAACCGCCGCTAAGGTAAATAATTAATGAACTGTATTTTCTTTGTCCATCAATTTAAATATGACACTTAGCCTTTGAAAAACGCTACCTATGTCAAAACTCCTGTTTATAATTAATTTTCTTCTTTTACAATTTTAATGCAGATTATTTACTATAAATAGGTTATGTGTTAGTTAGTTACTCTTACGGGCCACGAATTAATTTTAATAGAAGTGGGTTAAAAAACCAATTAAAATCTGGCCTGTAAATCGAAACTCAAACATAAACTCGATGCAATCAAAATCAACTTTGTGATCTCATTACCAATCAATGGCCCCCGGTGAAACGTTAGAGCCAAGAACTGGCCTTGGTAATATAATCGCTTAAATTTAATTCCTTTACAAACAAGGCAGAGAAACGCAATATTTCAATAATTTTTTTTGCCCAATTTTTTGCTCGGCCATTTGTTTGTGTCTTTCGTTTTTTGTTTTCCTCAGTGAATGTGTGTGTGTTTTCATAGAAGAGCCTGGGGCCCAGTCAATATTGGCACAACACGTTGTTTGCCTACACTCACACACAGAGCGACTATGCAAACGAGGCTGGCCAGAGATGAAATATGTTAAACCGACAACATATTGAATTCAGATTTAGTGTCGCCGAAAAAGCAGAGCCATCGAAAACTGAGCAGCGCGTGCACAAGGATTTCCAGGGCTCCTTTGTAAACAACCTCGATGCTGTCATAGGAGGAATCCAGAGCCTTCCAGGTTCATTGACATCAAAGTGTTCGAGCGGCAACAAAATCATCCTTGGCAAGGACATGTTTCCCAGCGCCGCCAGGAAGAGAAAGTGCTCCTCAATATAAATACCAGGAAATGCCCCGCCAATGAGGCAAACTTTCTATGTTTCTTCGGGCTAATTATACCTCTCAGTTGCACTACGAAAAACTATTGCTTTTGTCCCACATTAAATTCTTTGGTAAAATGTACACTAAAACTAAGTTAGCTATTAATATATTAATTTTTTAATTTTATAAATATTTTGTAATATAATTGATAGAGCTATACAGCGCTTTGTTCGAAGTAGGTTTTCTATTGGATTAAGCCAACTTTTTATAAATTGAGTCAAACAATTTAGAAGTTTTTATAAGAGTCCGGTTTTTTCTTGTGCACCGTTGAGTTTTTGTGAAAGTTCACATAAGGACGCAGTGTAGCAATTATTACACGGCTCAACAAATGCCAATGAAAAGAAAACATCAGCCAAGTGAAAAATGGGAGTGGAAATGGGAAAGGGAATTCGCTGGGTTTTCCTTTTGATGAGGAGCAGCCGAACAATGCCTGAAAAGTGGAAAGCGGCGGGGCAGGAAACCTTGTGGTTTCGGTGGATCCTCTGGAGGAGCTGGTTGGCAACAGGTTGGGTTTCCTTTTTTTTTCGCCAGGCAGTCTCAGCATTTCACTGCGACTGGAATTAAGATTGCCACCAAGGCCCTTCGTTTGCTTTTTGGGGAGGGGCACTGCGGGAATTCCTACCGTATCCTCAGAGAATACTGAAAACTATAGACAAAGAAAGTCCCGGTAGCAGATTTGCACGGTAAATAATATTTTTGGATGTGTAAAAGGTTAAAAGGACAAGATGGTTTTAAGGTAATTGCCCACTGAAAATAGCCATTACTATTCAGAAATCTTAGAAAAGATAGATACAAGAGTTCATTTTGAATTGTGATTTCATTGTCTTTTATTCTAAGCCACAAAATCATCTTAAATCTAAATAATCTATAATTTAAAAGCAAGCCAAGTAAGAAATTCATATTTTTGTTGTAAGAGGAAATAAATAGAACCATAATAAAGCCAAATAGATTGCCAGAACCGTTTACAATTACAATACTGTAGGACAAAGGACTATAACACAATCAAGTCAGTCACAAAATTAATTAATTAACGAGTGCACGCATGTGTAGCATACAAATTTGTAGTGAATGTGAGACAAGTGCATTGTGAATAATGCATGCATGTTGAAATACGGCTTAAGATTGTTTAAGGGCTTAGAACTTGTAAGGCTATAATAATTCCTCCGAATTTTGAAAGTAATTATTCTGCATTGCATATGTGCATATGACATATTTTACCTTTCATGAGAATAGACTTAATTCACCTGAATTATGAGCATAAGCAATAAAATATTTATACGTACATACTCGAGACTTAAATTCAGATGTGTCGAAGGCCATATAATTAGCACATCATTAGACCAAAGTTTGTGGGCGAATCGCATTTATTTCGTATTTAAAAGCTTGTGCGGAGCTGCATATATATTTGATTCTTGGCGGATGAATAACCATATTACGCATACGCACTGTACCCATGACGAACAAATTAATTGAATCAACAATCGAATTAATCAATGTGCAAAGCGAAGATAAAACCTGAAACGAAAAAAGAAATTAATGACGGTAGCGAGGGGGATTTTTTCATCATTTGGTTTTCGGTGGAAAA